GTAGTAGTAGCAGTAGTAGTAGTAGTAGTTGTTGTAGTAGTAGTAGTAGTAGTCGTCGTAGTTGGGAGTAGTAGTAGTAGTAGTAGTAGTAGTAGTGGTAGTAGTAGTAGTAGTAGTCGTGGTAGTAGTAGTAATAGCAACAGCAGTAGCAGTAGCAGTAGCAGCAGCAGCAGCAACAGCAATTGTAGTGGTGTTAGAATGGTAGTGGTAGTGCCAATAGTTTCTGGTAGTGATAGTGGTGGTGGTAGTGGTAGCGGTAGTGCAAGTGGTGGGTGAGAGTACTAGCAGTTGTAGCCAGGATGCTACACACGTGTTACTTCTGCCCCACCACGACCGCTATCAACACGGAAGTTGTGACCAATAGATTCTGAATGGATCAGCTTTGCAGGTGCTATCTGTAGCATTCGTGGTTTCAATCGTTCAAGCTTTTGCAAGCACCACCTTATCTGACTGTCACTCCAATGAAATCGCACATACAGGCAAACATGCAAGGCTAACAGATCAGAACATTATGAGAAAGAAGCAGCCAATCTTCTTTGTCATCACAATCCGAGCTGTTGCGCGTTCACGCACCAGGTACAGCGCAAACCACATGAGTTTTGAAATGCTTCGCTGGAATCTTTGCCTGTAGCGGTTTGCAAACTTGAAGCTAACCTCGCACACTCCAAAGTCTCGAACTTGCAATCTTTCGAAATTTCGAACTTGAGAATTTTCTAGCCAATTTAAACAACTTTTTCACAACTCGAAATTTTCGAACTTGACAAAAATTCGAATTTTCACAGTTTCAAACTCTCAACATCTGGGATCGAACCCGAGTGGGCCAAAACATCCACGTTTCAGCTCGAAATGGCTAGTCGATCTCGAAAGGTCGAAACTTGCCAATTTTGGATGTGATACTTCGAGGAGGCTCACTCCGGTTGCAATAGATAACCGGGCAAAAAGGTAATATTAGAGCAGTCCAGCAATATAGCAGCTTGTTTAGCGCGTTCTATAATCAAGTCCGGCTTGACGTCATTTTGAAGATCCCTTCAACGAACCCTTGCACGCTTCCCTCGTGTGTCAGGACCTCTAATATCCAGGCCATAATGTCCTTTCAAGTTTACCGTGAAGCGCCGAAAGGTCCTTTGTCGAAACAACCTTAAGATTCATCATCATCACGATCAAACCGCAGGATACATGCTACCCTTATCCAGTCGGCTTTCTCCTAGACAAGAAAGCTGATTTATCAGCACGCATAGTTTCGGCAAGGTGGGCGACGAAACAATGAATAGTCAACAACAGTTGTGTGAGTCAGTCTCGGGAGGAAAAATTGATGACTACGAAGGGAAGTGTATGCATGAGCATGTCGAGTCGTCGTGGTAGGTCAGTGCAGTTGCCCGGTTCCCCTGTTACAACAACATCGGATGTGTTTGTCTGTCTTAGTTAACCGCTACAGTTTCATTGTAGGTGCAGTCCCTGAATTGTTGTGAGTTGGGCTTGCTGCGGCAGAAACCTTGCTAGATCCGAAGAATGGTAGGACCCAGGATGCAGCTGAAATTCACGGTTTTCACAAGGATCTTCATCAGTTTTTTTGAACATGATGCCCTGATTGGCCAATGGATTCATTTCGGCTTGCACAGCTCTTTATCAAGGGCCACAGCAGCAAGCTTCGCTTGCACATTGAAGCTGCAAGGTGGGCAGTGTGAGCCGTGCTGTCTGCAGCACAACACAGCACTGGCAGTTGCTGGCGCACATGCAGGTCAACATGGCCATTGCCAGACCCGCCGGTTTACTTCTTTTTGCGCTGTTCGAGCTTTGATTCAGCCGGCTGTTTGGTTTGTGGATCACATTGCTGAAGTTTTACTCGTAGCATATATCTCATGGGAGGATGGCAGTGAAGTGTCTCGTGGCCAGGCTGACACGCCGCTGCTGCTGCGCTGTGTAGCCGAATTTATCGGAGCATTCCTGCCATTCTTCACAGTTGGTATTCACCTCGGAGTGAGTTTGGTGTCTCACAGTGCGCATGAGTGACATGTTCCACCCAAGCGACGACCTTGGCATGGAATCCTCATCCGTGTTGGTTGTCTTTTGTTATGTGATGTTGTTCCTGAGGCGTTTTTATCGGTTTGCAATTTCTGCTGTTTAAAGGGCCGACAATCGTCAAGCTTGCACTTGCGCAAACGCATCTCCGGAAATTTGGTTTCTGTTGTGCCTTGTCAACAGAATGCCCACTTTAAGACATCCGGCTTACGTCGAGAAGTCCTTGGGCCCCAGAGAGAAAGTCAGAAGCTGCCAACACAACCGGACACATCTGTTCACATCAAGGATCCTGGGGCCGTAGTTCATGCTGGTGTTCCTGAATCAGCCTTTAACAATGCAGTGCATGTTGCATGTGTGACTCATGGCATGTCAGAACTATGAAGTCGTCGCCAGTCGAATCAAACACAGGGCGCCAGCACCAAGCGCTGTTAGGCTTCAATGTTTTGTCTGGGGCCGCTGTGCTCGGCGGTGTCTCGCTAGCAACGACGTTGTCGCCCCGGCCAAGCTTGATCTCACCTGTTCGTTGCAGGATCTTGCCCGAGTCTGGAGGGGCTAACTTAGTTACATTCTGAGCACAGTTGTTGGGTTGCGTCCACGAGCTGTACTGACGAAATCGCGCACAGAAGGAGTCTTTACATCGCGTACATCGCCAGGACTGTGCTGACTTACGCACTGGCTGGAGTTTCTGGTGCGAATTTTTCACCGGCTGTCACTCTAGCGACCTGAACTTAGCCTTTGTCCTCGCTTTCGTCGCAGATGCAACTTTTGCAAGACTGAGGCTTTATCTGAGCAAGAGGCTCGGCGGGTCGGGATCTCGGCCTGCGCAGGCTTGCCAGAGGCTTGCCAGAGGCTTGCCAGAGGCTTGCCGGAGGCTTGCCAGAGGCTTGCCAGAGGCTTGCCAGGCGACATCCGTTCTTGTCGACCGAGGCCAGGACTTGATGCCTCTGTTGCGGGGATGTATGCTTTGGTTCAGCGCTTGGATCGGCGCAGCTGATGTCTGACTTTGCCAAAGTTGCCTGCAGCACCTGACAAGAGGTCCAGCTGGTAGGTGGGATCTGCTGCGGATTCTGCTTTGCACTGGCCTCAGGCGATAAGAGACTCACAGTCCAGAAAACAGACGTGCACGGGACGGATCAATGCCCTGGCAGGTCAACATGTTTGCAGATTCTTTCAGGAGCGCTCAGAAGCGTTGACTTGTCATACGGAAGCTCTCCAGCTGCGCAGGCTTGGTCCTGGAGCAGGATTCAGTGGTCGCCTCGGGACCGGTGAAAGACCTAAAGCGGCACTGACAAATGTTGGCTATACAAGGCTGGGTCGATGCCTGCTTCTGCGAAGCCATGTATTCTTGCCTCTTCTGCTTCGTGGTAGTTGGCCTCAGCGATCAGGTTCTGTTTGGGTTTTGATTATAGTAGCCTCCCGCGACATGAGGTCCTGAACACCACTGCAGCAAGAGCTTACAGCTCAGAAGGGTGCATGCCCAAGCATTCCTGTGAGTCTGTCTCGGTTTCCGACTTGTGAGCAGCGGGACCGAGGAACGAGTTCTACGGCATGGCAATCGGAGCAATGGCCCTTGCAGCCTCCTATGCGGCAGGGCCTGTCTCTGGAGGCCTTATTCTGGCTGTGGAATGTCAGCAGACGAAAAGCAAACACCGTTGCACATTGCATCCAGCCACAAGAATCAGCGACTTTACCGAGCCCGCAACTATCTCGACAGTGTTCCCTTCTCGGGTTTTTGGCGTGAGGCCTCCTCAATCCGGCCATCACAGTGGGCCTTCGGCTTACTTGGGCTTCGAAATTGCTGGTGACCGGTGACTGGTGATTGCTCATGCTTTCCTCTTGATGCATGGCATGTTTCAGGCGTCGATTTTGCAGGAGCAGGCAACGAACTTTGGGTTTTCGCGATTCCGTCGTTCACGCGTGGTGTGACACATGGCAGGTGCCGGATTTGGAAAGTCTTTGGTGTATGCGATCTTCCAGTTGTCTCTTCCTCAGCATGGACTTGGCTCTGCAGGTGCACTGCATTGCTCGCGCAAAAGTGTTTTTGAGATCAAGGCTGGGAGCAGGCATTGCTGCGTTTCTCTTCAAAATGGCGACTTGGATACACCAACTGGCTGCTCGCAGACTTGAGGACATTAGTGTTTCTTGTCAATCTGGACGAACCCATGCGAGATATGACAAGAACGATTGGGTTGAAAAAGGGATCCAGAATGCGAGCGCTCCAACTCACGCGGATGGCGGGTTGATGTTTGCAAAAATGTCGAAGATGTGTGTGGGTGTTTCACGGGCCAAGATGTGGGATCACTTTACTTGAAGTTCCCCAGGTTCGGCCGATGGATTTCGACGAACCGGAGTCACCAAGGACGAGGCTGATCGGTTAACAAGACAGTCACGACACCAAGGGTCGCCAAAGTCTCCAGACGTTGGCAGGCTGATCAGCGAGATCATTGGGACGTTTGCTTTGGTACGCCCAGCCCTGAGAACCCTGCCAGGGCAAGCTTGACATAACGAGGTGGTGGTGACTGTTGGCCTCTCTGCGCTGGCGAAGACATCGATGGCCGTTGTCGCCATTGCTGGGCCCGTCCGGCATGTCGGCTTTGGGATGTAAGGGGTAATGCCATGTGCTGTGTGAGTCTACAAGGAGTCGGCTTTTCGTTCCTTTTGGGCTGCTTGGAGGTGCCTCTGTAGTCTGGTCTACGCCCTGGGAGACGTGTGCAGATCCAAGTCGAGCTTGTGAAGAAAGAAGTTTGCCTCTGTCTCTGTGTTGTGTTCGTGCAGGTCCGGCGCTCACTTCAACCCTGCGGTTACAGTGGCGGTTCTGCTAAGTGGCCATGTGCCCCGACTGATTCGGCCGAGCTTCTGAGAGCACCGGTAGTAACTGTTTTGAAGCCAGGATGCAGACATGACCCCCAAGCGTGCCGTCTGTCCGACTTCGTTGAGACGTGTCTCGACAGATTTGCTTTTGCAGTTTACTCCAGCCAGGTCCATTACATTGGGTCGCAGCTGCTGAGCTGTGTGTTGGCAGGATGGTCCGGCTCCTGTGGCAAACGAGTGTTCATGCGTCTTGGAGAAGTCCTTCGAAGTGTGTGTGCGTGTGTGTGAGAGAGAGAGAGAGAGAGAGAGAGAGAGAGAGCGAGGTGCTTTTGTCTTCTGTACAATGGCAGCTCCTTTGTGTTGGGCCCTGGCCAAGGCAAGCGAAAAAAGAGTGACATCAGTGCCCCCGTTACATGCTCAGAAAAGCCTGGCCTGAAAATTCCATTTCAGGCTTCAGCCTGACCGCAGCTGCAGTTGCGGAAATGCAGACTCCTCAGCGTGGATCGCACCGAATCATACCGTGACTTCGGGAGTCGTCAGGTTCTTCACTGCGCTTCTGGCATTCGTGGTTCTGGGAGTTGCTGTATCGCCGAAAACCAAGAGCTCGCAGCTCTTCGGATTGGCAATAGGCCGGGCTGCGTGAACAGCAGGTTAGAGATTTCTCACCAGAACGTACTCTTCATGCCGCCTCTGCCGTAGCAAAAAAATACCAAGAGTTTTCGTGCAAGGACTTTGCATTGTGGTGGGTGGTTCGTCAGCTGGCAATATCTCGGGAGCCTGTCTAAACCCCGCTGTGTCTGCACGGATCTCAGTGATCGTTGGAACGCAGCGATTCGCATGACATGGCCGGTTAACATCTCCAGCTTGGCCAACTTGCTGTCAGATCGGCATTGCAGCCAGCACGGCAGGAGACATAGCATGCAAAAGGGCATGGCATATTTTGCCAACATGTTGCAGTCGTGCTTTATCAGCGGACATTACAGCGCAGGATGGGCTGCTACCAAAACAGCTTTGCGGTATTGCTTCTTCCAGCTCCTGGGAGGTTCCAGCGAAATGCAGCCTGTGCAGTGCGTGTGCTACCGTTGCTAGAAGCCACTGTCACGGTTTGCGGCTTGCACAGGAAGCATCGCAGGCGGCGTGGTTCATCTCCTTCACAGTGAAATAATCACCGACACCAGCTCGGCTTGTCTTTCGAGCTTGAGATTTGTTTATGCTTGTCTGATGCTGCAGTTGTTGAGGTGAACGGACACGGGGAGACGTCCAAGCTCATCTTCGGGCATGCCTGACGTAGGTATCTGTGCCCAACTGTGAATCGGAGAAACACTGTGCACTAGCTGTTGAGATGGCTTGAGCCAAGCCATTATGACGAAAGAGCGTTGACTTGCCCTTGTCCTTTGTACGTTCTACATACCCCGGTTATTTTGTGATTGATGCTGCACTTTCCCGGTATAGTTTCGAGAAGTAAGCAAACTAACAACACAGATTTAAGACGCTTCACAAACCAGCTGTTGCTTGTTGTGTTGCGCAGGCCCCGACAAAAGTGAATCGACATGTGTAGCAAAAAACGGGGCAGGTCGTTGGCTCGTGTGAGTGCAGCGATTGTGCAATGCATGGATGCACCGCAATGCTTGGCTTGACGGGAAGCAAAACAGCCCCACTGCTGTTCCCGATCCAGTGAAGCCACGCACACCTTGTCATGGCTGTCAGTGCCCCATCTTTGACAGCGAAGCTTCCGGGAATGTCAATGTGAGCAAAACGTTTGTCATTCTTGGGCGAGTGAAGGCGAGAGAGAGACAGAGAGCGAGCAAATAAGCAAGCAGGCAGGCAGGCAGGCAAGCAAGCAATTAAAACAAACAGAGAAGAGGAGGGAATCGATAGTTGAAGCAAGAGCATCGTGGTTAGAGCGGCAAAGCTAAGGCTGGTTTCCGAATTTGTGGGCACGTTCCTGCTCGTGCTGACAGTCGGATGCAATGTTCTAGGCAGCACAAGCACATGGGGTGGCGTGTCAATCGCTTTCGTTCTCATGGTTTCCATCTATGCAATGGGAGCCATCTCGGGAGCGAATTTTAACCCGGCTGTGTCGGTGACTTTGGGCATTTCGAAGTCTATGGGAGGGCCCGGCCTCGATTGGAAGACCGTCGGCCAATACTCGGCCGTTCAGATGCTGGGCTTTCACTTCATATAGTATGCAATTCGGTTTACAGGACAGAAGAGAAGTGCTCCACGTGGTTTGTTGTGGGCAAATTGTCTTACGTTTTGTGCCGATGTTCGACATCGGTCAGTAGCACGGCGTTTGTGCGAGTTTTCATTGTTGACTCGAGTTCAACATGCGTAAGTTTTGCCCTACTTTCTCGAGCGTCGTTGTAGTTTCATGTCAATGTGTCTTTGTGCAAGCATGCAACCCTTGTAGGAGAACCTGGGCATGACCACAAGCATGAAATGTGTTGCACGTCGAAGCGCCTCACGTGCGTAGCAACCATTTGCAGTCGGCTCCTTGCTGCATCTCGAGCTCGGCAAGACTTGGAGCTGTACAACAAACAACACACTAAGACAGGTACGCCGATTGGAGGGCTTTACCCATGCGAACGGAGAAGCATTTCTTGACCTGAGGACCCTGGCTGGGATTTCAGCTGCTGTCTGCTACTGCTTGCTGTACGGACGCAGCTTCAACTTGACGCCGTCGGAGGGATTTGGCTGGCTCAATGCCGGGTTGTGCGAGACGCTCTACACGCTGCTTGCCTGACCAGTTTTCCAAGTTTCCGCCGCTTTAGACAAACATAGATTCGATGTTCGACTGATCTTTATTAGGTTCGTGCTTACGTTCGTGGTCCTCAATGTGGCAGCAGCCCGCAAGAATGCGATAGAGCGCAACGAGTACTATGGCATGGCCATTGGGTTGGTCATCATTGCAGGAGCCTATGGTGCGGGAGCTGTGTCCGGGGGCTGCTTCAATCCCGCTGTCGCTCTCGCAGTCGATGTGTCGAGCGCAGCTCGTGGATTTGGCTGGTGTGTGCCCTATGTCCTTTTCGAGCTTGCTGGGGCAGCAGCAGCATCCGCTCTCTTCAAGCTTGTGCGTCCTGAAGATTTTGGTGGTGAACGCTCCGGACAGGCAGAGCTCCTGTCGGAGTTTCTAGGAACATTCGTGCTCGTTTTGACAGTCGGTTTGAATGTGCTCGCCAAGTCCCCAGCTGGTGCACTCTCGATTGCCGCAGCATTGACAGCCATGATCTACGCTGTTGGTGACGTCTCCGGAGCTCATTTCAATCCAGCTGTGACCCTGGCAATTTTTGCATCGGGCAGGAGTGCGCAGTTGACCCCGGTGAAGGCCAGCATGTATGTTGCTGCTCAGATATGTGGTGGAATCGTGGCGGCTGCCATGTACACATTCATCTATGTTGGGCAAGCTTTCCCACTAGGCCCGGTCGCCGGCAGCACGTGGTCGCAGGTTGTGGTCGCAGAGGCAATCTTCACCTTTCTGCTGAGCTTTGTGGTTCTCTGTGTTGCCGTGTCATCGAGGACGAAGAGTTCCCAGATGTTCGGACTCTTGATCGGTTCCTGCGTCACAGTTGGAGGCTTCGCGATTGGTGGAATTTCCGGCGGGTCTTTGAATCCGGCAGTCTCTGTGGGGATCGCATCCGCTAATCTTCTCAACGGCGGGCTCTTTTACACGGCTCTGATTTACTCTGCACTGGAGCTCACTGGTGGAGCCATCGCTGCTGGAGTGTTCAGGCTCACACATGATGTGGACCTGGACTCGGCGGAGAAGGAGAAGCTGGTTGCATGAAGCACACCGCAGCTACGGCCCCGCTGAAGATTGAAAAACATGGAAAGGCAGATCCCGTGATGAACTGACAGCGCGGTGCACTACAGGAAAGGGATATCGAAAAGCACCAATGCATGTAAATGCATGTTTGTCGCAGCTGCTGGCTCCAAGACCTGGTCCCGTGTGCGCTCTGCGAAGGCAGAGACCTTGAGTTGAGAGCCATCGTGTCATACACCGAGTTCTGCAAGGGGCTGCGCATACAAATGGCAACTTTGCGCTCCGCTCTGCGCAATTCCCTGCCCCTGGTGGACAAGGTTTCGTTCTCCAGCATCATGAAAGCCTGTACCACATAGACACTCCGGATGTTGTGCCGACAGGCCATCAGGCCGACACCTTCTTTGCAGCTAGTTCGGAACTTCGCTACTACGCAGCTTGTTATTCAAAGATCTGTTGAGTTTGTGCCATTCCATTTTGTTAGAGCTAGAGCGCATTCGAAAGTGCATCTCAGGAAGGCTGCCTCACCGGAAACTCCACTCATGCACTACACAGCGACGCAGCAGGTCTCCGTAAGCTTACCGCTGTCACGTTGAAACCTGCTCAAGCACCCAAGGCTACGAGCTCCATTAACCATCGAATCTTCTATGTCAACGTGGCGCCGTGACTCCATGGCCCTATGGGAAGACGCATGGGACCCCTGTCTCAATTCGTGAGGTCGCCATGGTTCTCGTGTACGACCTCGGGTCGTCGATGCTGGACTTCTGAGTGTCAGAGTTTTTAAGTAAGAGGCACGGTCAGCATCCAAACAGACGCTTCGGCAACACATAGAAGAGGATCCGCGATCTTGTTGGTTGAGCAGGCGAGCCAGGCTACAGGTGTGAAGAAGCATTTCGTTCATGCGCAGTCCTGTGTGGCTCGTAGGAATACCATATGGATAGGTCATATTGACATTGATGTTAAAGTGTTGCAACATGTTGCAGCAGTCGGTACCGCTCCACCATCACACCGCAGAATTTCACTGCAAGTCTTGCATCCGCGTTCCGAACTTTTACTGTCCTCAAAAAGCACGCCTTCTTCCTCGGCTGGTGGCTGACGACCCGGCGCAGGCGAGTTCGACTAGTCGCCCGGGCCGTGAGCTCTATGTGTTTGTTCTGGTCCTGGCCCGCAGTTTTGGCTCCACAGATTTTGTAGCCATGCCTCGCCTGGCAGTGTCT